TCCAGGCAGGATGGGCACGTGTGCCAGTCACTGTGAAAGCGTCCTGCGCGCTGCGGGGGGCCTGGTGTGTCCCAGGCTTTGCGCAGTGCGCAGCAGCCCCCACACCCGGTCCCTGCTTCCGAGGCCGTCAGCCAGCTGAGCCCCCGTCCTGAGGAGTGGAGTGGGCTCGAGTGTAGCAAGGACACTCTAGGAACTACCATTTTAAGTAAAGGTCGTTGAAAAATAGCACATTTGAAAACACTGTGCAGTAAGAACTTGAATAATTGGAATAAAAACTTTGGATTTAATCTCACTGCTTGCTACTACTTTTTTTCCTGGTTTTGAAACTAGCGTGGTTGTTGGGTGCTGTTTTGGTGATACGGAAAAGTCCAAAGAGGAAAATAAATATCTCTTATAACCCCACACCCGGGATCATCACTCCTAGGCATATCTGCAGTCCCAGCTACTTGGGAGGCTGAGGCGGGAGGTCGCTGGAGTCCAGGGTTTTGAGGCTGCAGTGAGCTACGATGGCACCGCTGCGCTGCAGCGTGGGTGACTCGCTCCAGAGTGAGACCTTGTTTCTACAAAAAAAGAGACAGTCACTCCTGCCTTTTATTTATTTACTTTGGGGCCACAGAGGCACGGCCTTCGAGTCCTGGTCGTCCTTGGTCCACCCCAGCTGTGTTGACTGACTTCGCTGCCCTGCGGTCCTGGCTGCCTCCCCCCGCCCCCGCCCCGGCGAATGGTTTTGTCTCCTCTGCCACTAACACGTGAGCGTGCACCATTCCGAATGCTCTCTGTGTGTGCTTGTATGTGGTTTTTCTATCAGAAACAGGGTCGAGGTCTGTGGGCGTCTTTTCCCGCTTCAAGGCCTCTCCCCGCCACTTCCTCAGTCGAGCAGCACAAAGTACAAAATTCACATCTCCAGAGAAACAGAGATTTAGAGGTTTCTGCCCTAAGTGCTCCGTAACAGCCATTTGTGCATCTCTGTGCGTGTCTGTCCCGACATGGCTTTCTGAGACACACTCTGCACAGAATTCAACTGGGATGATTTTTTTTTCTTTCTCTGTGGAATTGGGCTTTGGCTGTTTTGCCCAGGCTGGTCTCGAACGCTTGGGCTCAGGCAATCCTTCCGCCTCGGCCTCGGAGGCGGGATCACAGGCATGAACCACTGTCCTGGCCACACGCTGACTTCTGCTACCGGAAGAGTGGGAGGCAGTAGGACAGGTGGAGGGACAAGTGGGGACAGGATCCGGGGCAGATTCCTGGGCAGGTCCCAGCTGCACCGGTCACCAGATGCAGGATTCCCCCCATCAGCGAGAGGAGTAAGAGAACGATCTCATTCCGTGGTTGTCAGTATGAAGATGGGCTAATGCCTGGAGCACGCTAACCAGACCCCCGTAGACAGCACTTGGTGAGTTTGTTACCATGAGTTATCCAGGAAGCCAGCAGCCTCCAATCTCCCAGGATGGAGGGGTCTCACCTGCTGGGGCTAGCTCTTTCTGCCCGTTGCCAGTCTGACAGGCAGGATAAAATCGACATCTCCTGACTCGATTTCCTTCTCATCGCTGCCCCGTGGGGCCGAACGTGTCTTCCCATATATTCGTAGCCTATTTATATATCTGTTCTGCTGGGACAATTGCCAGTTCTTGTGCTCTGCCTTTCGGAGCATTTGGTTTTTCAAATATTTTGTCGATTCGTAAAATATTTTCACATATTAAGCATCTTAAACCTTTAACATATCTGTCGTAAGTTAGTATTCCTCACTTGTCATTTGCCTTTTAGCTGTATTATTATTATTATTATTATTACTATTTTTTTTGAGTCGGAGTCTCACTCTGTTGCCCAGACTGGAGTGCAGTGGCCGCTCCCGGCCACCGCAGCCTCAACCTCCTGGGCTCCGGCGATCCTTCCGCCTCAGCCTTCCGAGTAGCTGGAATTACAGGCATGTACTACCATGCCTGGCTAATTTTTTGATTTATTGTAGAGATGAGGTCTCGCCTGCCCAGGCGGGTCTCGAACCCGCAGGCTCAGGCAATTCACTCACCTCAGCCTCCCAAAGGAGCGGGATTACAGACTGAGCCACCGAGCCCGGCTTATTTTTTTCTTTTTGGTTTACTGTAGTAATGTTTGAAATCTGGAATCAAAAATACATGTAGATTGGCCCTGTGCAGTGGCTCACACCTGTAATCCCAACACTTTGGGGGGCCAAGGCCACAGGATCTCTGAGGCTTGGAGCTTGAGACCAGGCGGGGCAACATTGTGAGACCTCCTTCTTTACAAAAAGTTTTTTAAGAATTAGTTGGGCGTAGTGGTGCATGCCTGTAATCCCAGCCGCTGGGGAGGCTGAGACGGGAGGATCCCTTGCACCCAGGAGTTTGAGGCTGTAGCAAGCTATGGTCATGCCACTGTGCTGCAGCCTCGGCGACAGCCAGACAATATCTGCAAATAAATGAATAAATGATAAATATAAATTAAAAAATGAAGACACTCTCATGATCCAGCCTTTGAGCTCTTGCTTGGGCAGTCCTTCCCCACACCAAGATTATTTACATTTTCGTCTGTTATTCTCTGTGTTTCGTTGACTGGTGATCAACTTGAGATGTGTTGTGAGTTAGGGATCTCAAACGGGCAGCCCATCGGATGATGCACTGACCTGAAAAGCCACCTGTATCAGATGCCAGGATCATATTGTCTCTGGGGGTATTCCTGTACTTTTCTGTTTAATCATCTTTTCCTCACAGCCTCTTCTGTCGTTACCATTGTGGTTCTCGTGCCTCGAATGCCTGTTGCAGACAGCAGAGCCTCACCTCATCATTTTCAGAAATGCTTTGGGGGTATGAACGTCAGTGTTATTTGTCGAGTCTGGAATTCTCTCACTCCCGGGGTAAAGACGTTTCTTTAGAATTCATTTGGAGATTTTGTGTAACTTACAGATTAACATCTGGAGAATTTATGTCTTTATAGTAAGTAATCTTCCCTCTAAGACTATTTTTCATAAACGACCTGGTTTTTGTATGTTTATTGTGGTTACCTTATTGAAATCCTATTTGATTGTTTAGTCTTTCATTGATTCTCTTAGGTTTTTCTTCTACATCACTGGCAAATAGTGGCGGTTTGGCCCTCCCCCTCCGTAACGTTTTCTGATTGTGTAAGTGTCCCTTCAGCTGACATCGACTGGCCCTCTGGGGATGACCTTCTACCCAGTGTTAGCGGGCACTGCTGCCTGGCGTGTGCTGGAAGGGAAATGGCGTCAACAGTTCACATTAGCGTGATGCCATGTGGAGGAAGGACTGGGAGACAGTCTCTCTGGGTGGCAGATGCAAACGCATGCCCACAGCCGTGCCACAATGGCCAGAAATCTCTGTGAATCACCGAGGGACAGGCCGGCAGAGCGAGAGGGCCTTCTCGCCCCGGGTGTGAAGAGGCGCGTGCTTCCTGCAGCTCTGTGGGGCCACTTGGATGCCCAAGTGGAAAATGTTTAGGAAGCCACAAACGGACAAAGGAGAGAAACATCAGCCCGAACCCGCCACCATCTGCAGAGCCCGTTGATGCCTGGGGGTGGAGGCCTTTGCGGCCATTGTCACTCAGGGTCTTGGCCGTGAGGTGCGGGGACTCGTGGATGTG